TCCTTGTCCAGCAGGATTTGCAGCCGGGATCTTCGGTACTGGGGCCTCTTCGTCTCACGCCGGTAGGACTGGTCCTACTAGCCAGTTCTACGACGACGACTTGCACGGTGCAGACCACCAGGACGTACTAGGCTCCTCTCAGCTTGGAGGAGCTCCAGAGGCGCACACTCAGGAGCAGCCAGAGGTCACACCTGTACAGGCAGGACGGGTTGGCCGTGCCGTACCCCCGGACCGACTCACGTACTCCCAGGGGCACATTAGGGCGCAGGGTAGGAGGGACAGGGGTAAGAGGCCTCGTCAGTAGTGTTCTACCTCTTCAGTCCTTATGTGACCGTTTCTTTTGGCTTACAAACTTGTAAAGCAGTACTACTTTTGCTATTACTACTGCAGTACTACTTGTGTTTGTCTCGTCTACGTAGTTCTTTTCATTCGTATGGTGCTTGAACAACTTATGCTCACAACAACACACTTTCGGCGCTTCACGGTAGTGCCATATCCAGTAGCGCGCACAGTCCACAACAGCACACATGAAAAGCGGCAGCTCGAGTTATCACTATCAACTTTCGGCGCTGCCTGTTGACATAAAGTGAATCACGCCCACGCGTGATCGTCTTGTCACATCTAATGAATAATGTATCTCATTGAGTTCACATATATTGCAGTGAAAACGACGCTATATAATTGACAATCTGAAGGCAACCTCTTCATATCTTCTTTCCCACTACCACACCACACACGAAAATGGAAGCCTATTAATTGGTAATACGTAATCTAGAATTGAGATTATGTACAACATTCTTCACTACAATTTTACATTTTGGCAGCAAACCAAATATGATCAAATGCAATTTTACCTTACCAAATATTTGGTAGTGCCAAAACTTGCTTATATTTTGGCATTTACAAAATATTTGTACGGTAACATTCCAAATATGCCCTAAAAAATAATAAAATTGTATTTTACCAGTCTTGGAGATTTTAATCTTGTATAGTTTTCAATATAAAAAGATTTGATAACTATTGATATTTATATAAAAAAATATAGAGCACAGTACAAAATCGCCCTCCCCCAGGGCGGCAAGGGGGCCGCCTGCAAAATTCCATGCCCCCTCGCCGCCCATTTGCAGGCGGCCCCCCGCACAGTGCAAAATCGCCCTAGCGGAGGGCGGCAAGGGGGCCGCCTGCAAAATTCCATGCCCCCCCTCGCCGCCCATTTGCAGGCGGCCCCCCGCACAGTAGAAAATCGCCCTCGCGGAGGGCGGCAAGGGGGCCGCCTGCAAATTTCGTTGACGGCCGTCGCCCGAGAGCGAACGGCCGTCTGCCACGTCATTTTCGCCGCCCTCTGGGAGGGCGATTTTTAAAAATCGCCCTCCCAGAGGGCGGTAGGCGACTATTTCCGTTAATTTTCAAAATGGAAAATTATTTTTGTAAAACTTTTAATAAAAAAAATTATAAATAAAAAAAATTCGTTGGGGGTGTCCATGGCAAACCCAAATACCATCCATGGATGGACTTTTGGCAGGAATAAATAGAAAGCTACAGGGACAAGAGAAATGCGATGCCGGTGAACTCTCGCACTACACAAAAGCACTAAAAGAAAACAAAAATATAAAGGAAAAAACCCTATTACAGAAAAGCCTAACAACCTAGACCCCCCCCTCTCCCCCGTCGCCGGCAGCATGAGTTACTAGAATTGATGGAGCAAAGTGGTCGGCTAAAGAGGAATGAAGGAGTCGCCTATTTTCGCTTGCAGAGGGGTCACCGACAGAGAGGGGTCCCCCATTTTCAGAGTTGATTTGAAATTCGGATACTATATATCCTCTTGGAATCAAAAGCATCGAGTTCATACTATTACTATCTTCATATCGTGAGATAAAGAATCAAATCCAGAAGTCAATTAGAACATATTCAAACTATGTACTGTCATGATTTTATACTTAAGAAAACAACTACTCTTCATCATACCGGCTTTTAATTAAATATTCAACAATTTAACATCCATATAAAGCAAACCTCCCTTGTGGCTTACTAGCACCTTTTGTGGCATTCTACGACCTGCATGTAGCCAATCCTGTCTGTCGGTGACATGGGACCGGGAGTATCATGATTAGAGGCTTGAGGCAGACACAATCGCCCACGTGGCCTGGCACCCTCGGGGGACGTCGGGCCCGAGGGTGATGTGTGCGCCCACCTCTTGGTCTCCCCGAGGGGGGGGGGTCGGACCACTCCTGCCTCGCCCCCGAGGGCCGAGGCGCCCCGACCCCTCGCGGGTTCTACTCCGCGTGTATGGGTTAGGTGAGCACAGCAGGGCTCACCTAACCGCATTTATTGCGGTTCGGCTAAACGTGTCACGCCGCACGAAATACAGTGCAGTGCACTCGATTATCCGGTCTGTGACCAGTCACAGACCGGTCAGATCGCGGGTTAGGTGGCGACAGGCGGTCTGACGCACACCTCGCCCCATCCCGTCAAGACGAGAGCTTCTAGGCACTCGTCCCCAGCTGGAGTTAGCGTGTTACATCCCAGAGATGGCACGTTAGCCCCGGTCGATATATGCCAGGCTTCATCCTAACCATTACAAGCAAGATGTTGTGTGAAGAAGGGCAAACGTGCACGTTGCTAGGCTGACGCGTGGTGGGCAAGAATGACCGATTTGTGACCGGTCTGACACTGGTCATGTCGTCGGCAGACAGCCACGTTCCCACGACGCGCCTGCCTCCGGCAGAAGTGGAGGTAGGTGTGTGCCGTCCCGTCAGGAGGATGTTCGGAGGACAACCGTGCAAATCTCCGTCCATTTATGAAGAGAAGAAAAGTCCAGTTTGGAAAGAGAGGGGTGCATGTGGTATCCCCTTGAAGTATAAAAGGAGGACCCTGCCCATGGGGAAGGGGGATGATCTTTTCCAGATTCAGTAGCTAGAAGAAAAGGGGGAGGTTGGCTCACACTTTGTAGCTCCTTGATACACAGATCCACCAAAACACAGGAGTAGGGTGTTACGCTTCTCAGCGGCCCGAACCTGTATACATCGCTTGTGCTTCATGCTCTTTTGAGAGGTCGCGATCTTTCCACAAACAGAGAGAGCTTGGGATCATCACCCTGAGCCCCCGGCCGAACCGGCAAAGGGGGGCCTGCGCGGTCTCCCGGTGAGGAGCCCCGCGCTCCGTCACTGTCCATTTTCCATTTGTACTGATAACCATTGTCATTTTCTTCCTAATATTGCACCACACCGAGCGCACAATTAATGTGAATTAATCTCTAGATATGATATATATCATTTAATTAATCATGCTAGGAAAAATAAACAAATTGACCGGTAGAGTGTCAGATAGGGATAGGTACAGAAAATATGAAGACCAAAAACCAATACCGAACTCGAAATAACCGAACCATTAGTTGGTGTTTCTTAGATCGGTCTATCATTTGCATGGACTGACTTTCACTCAGCTCTTCAGGCTGCTACCACAGGTACCTTAACTTTTAAGCATCAAATGATTTGCATATTTCGGAGTAGCACAAACCAAATCGAGACAAAGAGGATGAAAAAAAAAAACATTGGATCATAGCCCGATAAGCCATTGTGGTCTCTAGGGGTGGACACATAAATGGGCCAAGGCCCAAGCCGCTCCATTAGAATTTCGGCCCAATAAAAATTTACATGGTGAAATATCAGAGTGCTCTATGGGCCTTTTGTCTCAAGCGGCCAAACACACCCAGGTTACTCAGGGCATGTTTGGATTGATGTCAAATTTTGGTAGTGCCAAATCTTGGGCAAGTTTTGGTACTACCAAAATTTTGGTAGTGTAGAGTTGAAAATGTTTATTTGGATTGAAGCCAAAATTTACCCATAAGAGATAAGTTTATAGGCAAAGCCAAATTTATAGCATTGGTAGAGTTTTAGTAGAGGTGTTTGGTTTGCTACCCTACCAAAATTTTGGTAGGGCAAATTTTGGTAGGGTAGCAATCCAAATTGGCCCTCAGAGCCTAGGTCCGCCCCCTAGCGGTCTCCCTTGTAGTAGATCTGTGACGACCCTCCCTCATTGTTGCCTCTCTCTCCAACAGATTCCCTCATGATGCCCGCTATTGCTACATGCTAGTTTCGCCGCCGAACCGATCGACAGTTCGATTGACCGAACTATCACAGTTCATGATTTTCTATTGACAAAGTTCGGTTTCCTATTTTCATAGATCGAACGATTTTTCTAAAACCGAACTACCTGGACCTTTTGTTCAGTTATACCGACGTACTCCGCACCCCTAATGCCACACATTTAACTGTTTGCACTGAGTATTTGTTCGAACTAAAACTAAAAGAAATTAATCAGTGTCATTTATGCAATATTTACGTACGCCAAATGCGTGTACAACCTGTCATATCTCTCGCCATGAAGAAGTGGTACTGATATTAAAAGGTGATTACATTTCATTCACACATTCACATTAATCTCAGTTTGGAGGAATCTGAAAAGGGCAGTATCAGGTTCATCCATGCATTGCCATGCTCATCATATTCTCCCTCCACTACACACACTGGGAAATTCTCCGGCAACTTCGATTCTGACAAGATGCCAGAATGCAAAATACTAAACACATGCAGAGAGAGCAATTTTAACGTTGCCCATGGTCCAATTAAAATCTTTTTGAAAGAAAAAAAAAAGAAATCAAAAGCAAGAGAGGAAAGAGGTACAGAAGGAGTAAGAGGGTAAGATCAAGCTTTTCGTTTATAGCAAGAGATATGACAAGCTTTTCTTTGCGCCTAGCTAGCTCTCTTCTTTTGCATGTGACAGAATCACAGAAGAATATGGAAACATTTATTCCCTCCTCATGCATGCCACTGAGGAGTTTTTGGAACCAATTAAAGATATTCCTTAGGAAAAAGGAAGATTTTGGAACTAAAGCTAGCCATGCATACCTAGAAATCTTTAGAGTTTCCTTGTTCATGGAATATTTCTTGGCAAATGTGTATCTTGAGAAACTATAAAAAATTCAAATCTGTAGAAACAAATGGACCAATCAAATGAGAACTTGTGCCATCTTTACAAATTGACCCTTTCATTCTTTTTCCAACATGTTAGCTTCTTTTCTCAGTATAAGACAAAAGGAAAAGGGTAATGGTGTACAATTAATATTAACCAATCAAATCAATACAACAAAAGTAATAAAATATTTATCAATACTCCTGATTATTAGACTAACATTCAATCACTTTGTCGGAAAGGTGTCGGTAAACAATGATCGCGGTGATGATTTCGCATCAATCCGCCTGAGCAACCGACGGTTAACTAACCTTCCTTGTGATGTCACCTTTGTTTTTCCTCTCCTTTTTCTTTTTCTGTCTCTCCCTTTTGCTTTGCTTCAATATCATCTTTGTCTCTTTAGACATGTAAATTTGAGCACTCAAATGAAACTTCCATCCCGTTATCCAGACACATTGGGTGAAGAGAAAGATGAAGTAGGAGGAGGAGGAGGAAGAGAGAGATAGAGGGAGAAGGGGGGGATAAAAGTTAGGGGGTTGGATTTTGTTGCAAACTTTGCCTTTTGTGTGTTTCTTGGAAGCCACTCCTGCCTCCTATGCTATGTGCTAAGCTGGTGAGCTTTTAGTCTTGTAGGAGTGTATATAGTGCATGTATGCTGCTCCTATCATGGTAGTAATGATGTTGTCAGGGTTCTTGTTTTGCTTTTGGTTGCCTCACCGAGATTGGCTACTACTCATACTCAAGGTGCAGCTAGATACGTTGCTCTTTTACCCATGATGATCCTGGCTGTCAGATGGCCAGAAGGATGGGTACTGCCATTCTGTGCCATCCTTACCACCTGATGTTTCCTGGAGAGAAAAAAACAGTTAAAAAAAGATTAATTAAAGAGTGTTTACCCAGATGCAAGAGGCTATATGTTATATTATTTAAAAGACAAAAAGAGAAACACACATAATCTTGTACTTGGTCGCCCAACAAAATATAATGTGCCTTAGATATCAAATAATAAAATAATGCATTTTTCACCATGAACAAAATTAGGACACTCAACTTTCCGGGAAAAAATATGAATGCATTATGGTTGTCAAATATTTCTATGCAGGCATGGAAAAAAATGCCATCATAAATGACAAAGCTACATTTCCCCATTATATTTTCTCACATAAATTTCATCCAAATAACATAATCACGCTAGGCGTTACAACTTTACAAGTATATTATAATACAAACCGCTAGCCAAATGCATAAGTTTCCAAATCCACATTGTTTTGTATAACTGAATGGAATATTTTATGACGAAAAACTAGCTTCTACCATATGAAAAATAGCACAAGGAACAGCTAAATAGAAGTGTCGGGTTGAATAAAACAATGTTGGTTTTTTTTTAAAAAAGTATGCACGTTCCCTGATGCTATATGTGAAATGTCAGGTTGAATAAAACAATGTTGTTTTTTTTTTAAAAAAAAAGTATGCACGTTGAATAAAACCCGGGTTGATGGCTTTTCCAACCCTACCCTCTCCCACCATTATAAATTCATCTTCAAGAGTTATAGAAATAGTAACTAGCTAGCTATAAATTCACTACAAATTAAGCAAAAAAAATTCATGTGCAGTTACATGTTTACATGCTAATTAAAGGTGTATATTATTTGCACACAATAGTTTTTTTACTACTTTCTTTAGAGGTACAGAAAAGTACCACATTATGGTGTAAATTGTGGTGTCTCTCCGTACTTTTGTAGTGCATCAGGAGCTAACACAAATTAATACTCCCTTCCAGTTGATAATACTTGTCGTTTTGGACAAGAGCATGCACGGTCTCCAAAAAACAACTTTGACCATTATTTTCCGTTGTAATATGTATAAAAGTGTTAACAATATATGATTTTATTAAAGTACTTTTTAAGACTAATCTATACATGTAGTCACCATATTTAAAAGACAAATATTTTAAAAATGATTTATAATCAAAGATTATAAAGTTTGACCTTACCCTTGTCTAAAACGACAAGTATTATCAGCCCGGGGGGAGTAACAAATAATGTGGATACTCCATACTAACTCAAGGACCGTAAAATCACCCTTTGTATATTAATAAAAAGAAAACTCCACTCATGTACAACACGTACACATAGCTAGAAATGATATTATTATTATTATTATTATTATTATTATTAGAAAAAATACATTTTATACTTTTCTTGTGCTTATTCCTAAAATTAGAACACAACTATATATACATTCTTAAATAGCTGTAGTAATACTACCACCATTCCAAAATAAAACATATTTTAGCTATATATGTATCTATCTAGATAAATCTCTATCCAGATACATATATAGTTATTGTGTTTTGGGATGGAGGGAGTAGCTAACTATATCAGATAAATCTAAGCACCGTGTTAAACGTGAATGCCACTAGCTACGATCAAACAAGTTGTTGGATGTGCAACCGTACATGAGATGGATGTAAAGCATATAAAATCAGAGTATGTATCTGCAGTCTGTGTGTGAGAGAGAGATATGTATATATACGTGAAATATATGGTTACGTACCCCTCCTTTGGACCTCCGTGAGGTGCAGCCCATGATCACCTCCTCCAGTCCAGAACCAGAGGTCGACCTCCCATCAAACTTTCGCGGTTGGTGTGGCCGTTCATCCTCCTGCTGATCATTTTCTCGCAAATCAGACCAAACAATTAATTAATAGGACTAATTGACAGTCAATTACTATATATACACAATACTAATTAATAATTAATAGAAGTATACGGATATATATCATGACGTACGTGGCTTAATACAAGGGCTACAATGCCAAAAGAAGTGTAGTACGTGCTAATTTCGAATCTATTACTACGTCCCAATGATCACAAGAATTATGTTGTAAGATTTAGAATATTACCAGTAGACACCACGCTAAAGTCACTCGTCTTAAGCATATAAAAATTATATAGCTAGCTAAGTTTATCATAACAAATTCTTTCGCAATATATATCACACTTGTATAACCTTTTCAAATGTATAACCAAAGAGAATTAAATTATTAGTCAAATTTGTATTTGAAAAGTCCAAAACGTCGTTATTTTTAGCGAGCTACTACGATCGTGTACCTGGTGATGGTAAATATACGGCGGCTCCGGCTGCCGGAGCATGACGGTGCCCTGGTGAGCCGGCGGCGGCGACATCAGCCTGGCTATGGGGTCCGCCGGCGAGCTGACGACGTGGAACGTCGCCGCGACGCTCTGCTGCTGCCCGACGTAGTGGTGGCCGCCGCCGCCGCGCCGGTGGTCGTGCTCGTCGTCGTCGTGCTGCTGCTGCCGCCGCCGCTGATCAACCATAGCACTTTGGTGATCCGACGACGACGCTCCCATTCCCGCCTGTGTAGTTTAGATTAATAATTTATTAATTCAACATGTAAATTAATTACTTGCAAATATATAGTAAGTAAATACATGTAGGAATTAATCAGTTATATATACTTGGATATATAAATTAATTAGGTTTGTGCTGCACGACCATCATCACACCTGAAATTCTGATGGATTAATTAATTTATTATATCTGTCAGTTTTTTTTTTGGTAGATAGGGGAAGGTGAGCCAATTTGGAAAGCGAAGTAAATTAATTGATAACCTAGAGGTTTTCTCTTTGTTCATTAGTTTTTGCTGTTAGATTCATCATAGCACGCTTACATGGGTGAGTAGTATATGCAGATCATGCAATTAATTAGGGTTGCTTGCTGTGTGCACAAAATTTATTGTATTATACTACTATGTATATATATATGTCCCAATTAAGTACAGCATTGATGCTATTCAGATTGTCTACCAGGTACATATAACTACCAGATTCAAGATCGTTCCTGAAAGTCTATATGTGTCCCTAGTCCTGTTTATGTTAGTGATTTTGTTCCTAATTTCAACTGATATTTAATTGTATGACAAGACCATGTCTTACTTCAATTCTGCATATAGGTCAGATACATCTATCAATTTAGGTAAGATCTCAGAGCTAAGCAAGTACTGTTCACCTGAAGAAATCTTTTCTCATCCTACCATATTGTAAGGTCAGATTGATCCGGACGCGCACAGAAAATTAGCCTTGTCATCCCAATGACTGTACCCTCCCAAACAAAAACATCTCATCCTATTCCTACCTACATTTCACTGACCAAGAAAAAGGAAACCTTCTTCTACAAGCAACCTACATACAATGAAAGAAAACATTAATTGCATTATTTATAGTGGTCCAATAACTAATAGAAATATATGCGAATTCGATTTCTCAATTGTCCCCATATGTAAAAAGTCAATATATACAAAACGACAAAATAGTCCCACCATCTGACCAATATTCACAGTCTAGGACAAATATATGTGAAATTATTATATTTCATGGTACATATATCGAAAAATTTATTGCGAGATATATATACAGAGGTTCGTGTGTTCATGTATGTTATTTTCCTCTTAGATACTTTCATATTTATGTTTCTTCATCAACTTAATCTCGACTGTAGTTAGAGGTTGAACATCCAATGGTCTAGAAATAAAGGGGAAAGATCTCGGCGGTTACTATAAATCTTGTCCCATTCACTAATGGCTTGAACTGATTTGGTATAAAATGCTGAATTTAAATGCAATCATAAGCGAATTCAGTATTTTCTACATGTTTCATTATAATTTCATGTGTTTTGATGAATTAATTTAATTTCACTTTAGTTTATCTCTTACAAATTTCATTTCATTTTCATAAGTTCTATCTTAATTACTCCTTCAAGATATTTACCGAAATCCCCCCTTCGTCTTTTAAGCTGTTCGATCGATATTTTAAACCCTATAGTATGCAAGCGTCAAAAGGTAAGTAGGCAGTCCTAAAAAGAAATAACTTTTGGAGATGAATCTGAACCAGCACTGCATTTGTCTAGATTCATCCTAAGAAATAAATTTTATTCCGAGAGGACAGAGGGAGTATTACTTTTACTGTGTAAGGAATCATCAAAATCCCCAAATTAGCAACTGCTAAACTCTAAATCTCTAATTAACAAGGGAATGATCGATCACTCACCTCCTCGAAGCTACTCCTGAACTGCGCGAAGCTGAATTCATCAATGCCGGCGGCGCCGCCGTGGAACGCGGCCACGCTGACGTTAGCGGAAGCCATTGGCGCCGCCGCTGCAGCTGCGGCGGCAGCCGCCGCCGCACGGTCCCTCAACGACGTTGTCCTCCTATCTACAGCCGAGGCGGAGGCGGTGGCGGCGGCGTCAGCGGCGGCGCACTGCCTGGGCTGCGTCTGGTAGAAGATCTTGGAGACGACGAGCTCGCCGTCGCGCTCCTCCTCGGCCTCGCCGAGGTGGTACTGGTGCATCACCCAGTTGGTCTTCTCCGGCTTGCGGTGCTTCCCGAAGTTGGTGTAGAGCACCAGGATCTTCTTGCACCCGCGCTGACGCCCGCCGCCCACCACCGCCCGCGTCTTCCCGGTCTTGTGCCACCGCGTCTCGCTCCTCTGCTGCTGCTGCTGCTGCTGATGGCCATGGCGCGCCACCGCCGCAGCCGCCGACGCCGACGACGACGACGACGCGTTGCCACCGCCGCCGCCCGACGAGGCGGCGGCCGCCGGCGGCTGGATCTTGCGGCGCTTGCGGGTGCCGGTGGTGTAGGCCTTGGATGGGCGGTGGAAGAAGTGCCTGCTCAGGCCGTCCTTGCTGACACCTGCATGGATGGAAGCACACGTCAGCAAGTGCCCGCCATTTTTTTCCATGTCTGGTTAGCTAGCTAGCTAGCTACTGTCTGTTTCTCTTTTGAAAAAAAAAGAAAAAGAAAAGAAAAGAAAAGGGAAAAAAGGATTTGAGTGATGATGCAATGGTCAATTAAGCCATTGGCTGTTTGGAGGATATAACAACCTTGGGAGGAGGACAAAACCTAACTTTGGAAGATGTGCAGGGGCTGGGAAAGATCTCATGTCACATTTCATTCTCTCTTCTAGAGATAGATAGAGAGAGAGAGAGAGATGGTGTTTTTCAAATTTTTAGAGGGTGTGTGAGATGTGCTGCCACAACAACAACACATTGATTGACTAGCTATACATGCAGTACATGTACTGGAAGATTTGGTGTACCACTGTTTCCCTTCTTGCACAAGCTAGATTCCTACAGTGCATTACACACTTGCAAATTAAATCTACCATTGATGCCATTTATTCTCTCTCTTTTTTTTGGTGTGTGTGGGGAGTATGCATGCTTAGCTATCAAGTATCATTTAAAACAATTCTAGAAATGCGAGATACAAGGAGAGGAGAAGATATGAACCGAAACAGAAAGGGAAAAAGAAACCGAAGAAAGAAATGGTGGAAAAAACTGAAGCAAGTAAAAGAAACAGAAAGTGCAAACCTCCAAAACACAAAAAAAAAACAACAACAACAATTAAACATCCTTTTGAAGAACTGAACTTGATTAATCAATTGCACATATTAACCTGGCAATTTCTCAGGGTGGGTGTAGCAGATTCCATCCTCCCCTTCAATGGTGGGTATGAACTCGTCGATGAGCGGGTGTGCCGCCGCCTCGCCGCCGGGCCGGACTTTCGCCTCGAGATGCTCAATCAGCTCCTGATCCGTCGGATCGAACTTCACACCGGCCGGTAGCCCCACCCAGTCCTTCACAGACACACGAAAAATTCAGGCATCAACAACTCCAACAAAATTCAGAATTCAGACACACAAACAACACACATATATAGCAAACTATTAATTAAACATGGTTAATTAACAAAGTGTGATACACACACGCGTACCAGCTTCCGGTCGATCTTGTGGCCGCACCTCGGGCAGCAGCTCTCCTCCGACATGTACTTGCGGTGCTCCTCGATCCTCGATCCGATGAGGCGGCGGTGACCGCTGCCGCTGCCGCCTGCTTGATCTTCTGCTACCACACCATCCATGGCGGCTACCTGAGCTTCTGATCTTCTTCCTCGATCTCCTTCTCGCCGAAAAGATGGCAGTAGAAGCTTGCACCTCCTTGATCAGGGGCTAGAGCTCACCTACCTGTGCATGATCACATGTAACATGTAGCAGGATCACTCACATGGGGAGGGAGAGGGAGGTAGAAGAAGAAGAGGAAGAGGAGAGAGGAAAGGGAAGAGAGAGAGGGGGCAAGAGGGGGTTTTGAGGAAGCAATTAATAAAGATTTGGAGACCGGAATTCCATGTGTTTGATATGGCTTTAACTGAAGGAAGGGAAGAGATAGAAAGGAAAAGGTTCTCCAGGCACACACGAAACACCTTTGGACATACGCCAGACCGAGCTGTCCCTCTATCTAGCCTTCCCCTCTCTCTCTCTCTCTAGCTTAGCTCCACCTATCCCTTGAGAGAGAAAGGGACACACAGACATGTCTACACCTATGCTAGCTGCTGCTGCTCCTGGGTTTTAATTTTTTACTATTTTGGGAAAAGAAGGGATAAATTTGAACAAATTTTGACCGAGTTTGAATTTATTTTACTAAACTAACCAAAATTGAAAAGAAAAAAGACATTTTTTTGGAAGAAATAGTTGTGTGCCTAGGGGGTAGATCGGAAATTTTGAACAGGAATTGCAAACCCTACTGCTACATATTGCTCGGTCTCTCTCTCTCTATCTCTCTCTATCTCTTGCTGACTCTCTAGTAAATGCAAAATTAATCCAGTTGATACTATAGTAATGTTGAAATATGTGTTGCATTTTGTTTGCTATTTTTAGGATGTGTATTCAACACATATTGTAGAACTAGCATAGTGTTTCAATCAAAATTTCCTGCTTTAATTTACCACAAATTCAGGTTTTTATTTGCTAGACTTAGAATTTACAGAAAAAAACACAAAAATTGAATCGAAAAATTCAGCCATTGTATCTATTATTTTTGCGTCACATATTAAAAAACCGCCACATAGTGTAGTAACTTCTAACTCCTTACTTTCTGGTTATTCATTATTAATTGGCATATGCAATGCATAACTCCAAAAAACAACCCAATTTTGGACGAGTTTTGAAACCAAGAAAAAAATTACATTTGTAAATCACAGTAAAACAGAATAATATAAGTATTGAAAAGCGTTGGAAACATAATTTAAAAACCCCTGCACAATTCACGCGTTCTTACTAGTATATTGTCCAAAAAGAAAAACAAAAAAAAGTATTAAACTCAGTACCGCTAAACAGCATGACACGCACTACTTAACAACTAGCGTGCCTCACAGTCGCCCAACAGTCCTTCTCTCCCTGTTCTTCGTCCTCTCCGACTCTCCCCTTATATAAAAGAATTACTCTCAGTCACCTTTACGCAAACGTTCATTTCGTCCCTATCCTCCCCTCCATCCTCTTTGCTCCTGTTCTCTCCCCCACTCGTTGGTTGGAAACTCCCCTCCATATATATCCTTGGCCTCCCCGTCCCTTCCCTATTTCGTCTCAATGTAAACAAATTACTCTCAGCCCTTCCAAAGTTACCAGATAAATTTTTTACACCAGAAAGATGAAAGGTAAAACCCCTTCCAAAGTTACTAAATATTTTTTACACAATAAGGAATGAGGGTAATTTTCTTACATCGGGAGGAGAGGGATCCGGCATGTCCCCTTCCCCAGTTCTAGAATGCAAGATATTTTCTGTATTATTTTACATTAGGAGATAGAGTGGGTAAGGAGAGGGGACGGATGGAGAGCCTAGCAATAGAACCAATGTTCGGGTGGGTAAAGGAAAGAGTAAATATTTTACATTAGGAGGGAAGGTGAGCAGGATGGGTGGGTGCTGTGAGGAGCACTACTTGCGCTAAACACTCGGTGCTATATAGTAGTTCTGTTAAATTTTAATAGTTTTAAAACCACGAAAAAAATTATATTTGCCCAATCATGGTAAAATTTGAAGATGTGTATTGAAAAGCGTAGAAAATATAATTTAAAAAGTCGTGCACTATTTGGGCACTTCATATTAGTATTACTCTAATGAATAGAAGAAGCAATGTTCCGGTTCCTCATTCTCTTTTACTTGTACACTATAAGCAATGACAAAAAAAATAGCATCAATTTTGATGTACTAATTTAAATCAAATATATGCAATGATTCCACTAGTAGCGCACAGTGGCGGATCCACCACTGTCAACTCCAGGCGGCCTCCTAGGCTCATCAATGAACGTGCAACAAAGTTTAGTGTTATTTTAGGGATTAAAAATAAAGTTTACATAGTAAACGAAAATCTCTAAAAAAACTTTTTATTTCTACTATCTACTATCAACACATAACTAGAAGAAATATGAAAATCAATTTAATATCATTAAAATATATACCAACTTTAGTTTACTTTTATACAAATTATAAAAGTTTCACCAGTACACTTCAATACAATTGAATCCACAATATTTTGTATTTTACTGTTGTGTCACATTCTCTTAACAATTTTTTTTATTTTTCAAAGGAAATATGTCTATATGAAATACCAAGGTTTCCCTTCTATTAAGTCGTAAGTACTAAACACGTGCCCAACCTGTATACTCCGTGACACACATGGGGAGCAACATTAGTCACAAGCATTGCGCAGGCTCAAGCACAAGCAAATGCAAGAGGCAAGGCAGTGCTTACACATAACGAACCCTGTCCCGACTCACCTCTAAGCGCGATGGACCATGGGGTGGTGCATGAGCCATTTTTATTTGAAATCATACATAATTGTTTTTAAAAGCATGGTAAAATAATCAAAACGAGATAACTCACTTTTTGATATTTTTTTTCTTATTAGGACCATAGAGATCACCAAAAATAGTTGACCAAATGGTTTTCTAAACCCTAGCTAATTGGCATGTGGATGTAAATTTGCTTGGTTATATTTACAAGTAATATTGTATAGAACACTATAAATATTATAATTAATAAAAAAATATAATGGTCCTAAATTTAGTAAAAAAAAGTATTTATATCTATAACTAGCAAAGTACCCGTGCGTTGCTACGAGAAAAGGTTCACCAAATCCAATCTAGCCTTCCCCCCTCTCTCTCTCTCTATCTATCTATCTAGCTAGCTTAGCTCCACCTATCCCTTGAGAGAGAAAGGGACACACAGACATGTCTACACCTATGCTAGCTGCTGCTCCTGGGTTTGAATTTTTTACTATTTTGGGTAAAATGGATAATTTGAGCAAATTTAGTTTGAATAGATGTTATACTAAACTAACAAAAATTGAAAAGAAAAGGACATTTGTTTGGAAAAAAAATAGTTGTGTGCCCAGGGATGATCGGATATTTTGAACCGGAATTGCAAACCATGCTGCTGCATACTGCTCGGTCTCTCTCTCTCTCGCTTGTTGACTCTCTAGTAAAGGCAAAATTAATCCAGTTGATACTCTAGTACTGTTGAAATATGTGTTGTATTTTGTTTGCTATTTTTAGGATGTGTGTTCAACACATATTGTAGAACTAGCGTAGTGTTTCCAAAAAAAAAACACAAAAATTGCATCGAAAAAATCAGCCGTTGTATCTATTATTTACGCACCACATATTATAAAACCGCCACACAACGTAGTAACTATTAACTTCTTATTTAGTTTTGGTTATTCATTATCAATTGGCATATGCAAAGCTTAACTCCTAAAAAAATGTTTGCTATTTTAGGATGTGTGTTCAACACATATCGTAGAACTAGCGTAGTGTTTCAACCGAAATTTTCTGCTTTAATTTTCCACATACTCAGGTTTTTATTTACTCGACTCTAGAATTTAAAAAAAACACACAAAAATTGCATTGAAAAATTTAGCCGTTGTATCTATTATTTACGCGTCACATATTATAAAACCGCCACACAACGTAGTAACTACTACTGTAACTCCTTACTTAGTTCTGGTTATTTATTATCAATTGACATATGCAAAGCTTAACTCCTAAAAAACAACCCAATTTCGTACTGGAGTTTTGAAAACAAGAAAAAAATTACATTTATCAAAATTTTAGTAAAATAGAATAATATAAGTATTGAAAAGCGTTGGAAACATAATTTAAAAACCCATGCACTATTCACGCATTCTTACTAGTATATTGTCCAAAAAGAAAAATAGAAAAAAGGTATTGAACTCGGTAGCGCTAAACAGCGTAACACGCACTACTTAACAACTAGCGTGCCTCACAGACGCCCAACTGTCCTTCTCCCCTCCCCGTTCTTTGTCCTGTCCAACTCTCCCCTTATGTAAAAAAAAAAATATTCTCACCTTTATGCTAACATTGATTGCTTCCCTATCCTCCCCTTCATCCTCTCTGTTCCTGTTCTCTCCCCCACTAGTTGGTTGGAAACACCCCTCCATATATCCTTGGACTCACCTTCCCTCTACTCCGTCTCAATGTAAAGAAATTACTCTCACCCCTTCCAAAAGTTACAAGATGAACTTTTTACACTAGAAAGATGAAAGGTAAATGCCCTTTCCAAAGTTACCAGATAATTCTTTTTACGAAATAAGGAATGAGGGTAATTTTCTTACATCGGGAGGAGAGGGACCCATCATGTCCCCTTCCCCAGTTCCGGATTTGCAAGATATTTTCTATGTATTATTTTGAGATAGAGTGGGTAAGGACAGGGATGGATGGAGAGACTAGCAATAGAACCAATGCTCGGGTGGGTAAGGGGAAGAGTAAATATTTTACATTAGGAGGGAAAGCGAGCAGGATGGGTGGGCCGCTGTGAGAAGCGCTACTTGCGCTAAACACTCCGTGCTATATAGTAGTTCCGTTAAATTTTAGTAGTTTTAAAACCAAGAAATAAAATTACATTTGCCCAATCATGGTAAAGTTTGATGATGTGTATTGAAAAGCGTAGAAAACATAATTTAAAAACTCGTGCATTATTTGGGCACTTCATACTAGTATTACTCTGATGAATAGAAGAAGCAAAAAAGATCGTCATATGTTCTGGTTCCTCATTCTCTTTTACTTGTATACTACAAGCAACGACAAAAATTAGCATCAATTTTGATGTATTAATTTAATTCAAAGATATGCAACGATTCCACTAGTAGCGCACAATGGCAGATCCACCACTGTTGACTCCAGGCGGCCTCCTAGTTTCATCAATGAACGTGAAACAAAGTTTAGTGTTATTCTAGGGATTGAAATAAAGTTTACATAGTAAACGACAAGCCTCTAAAAAGAACTTTTTATTTCTTCTATCTACTATCAGCACATAACTACAAGAAATATGGAGATCAATTTTATATCATTAAAAGATATACCAGTTTTAGTTTACTTTTCTACAAATTATAAAAGTTTCACCAGTACACTTCAGTACAATATGAATCCATAATATTTTATATTTTATTGTTGTGTCACATTCTCTTAAAAAAATTAAAATTTTTGAAAGGAAATATGTCTATATGAAATACCAAGGTTTCCTTTCTATTAAGTTATAAATACTAAACACGTGCTCCAACCAGTGGACTCTGTGACACACATGGGGAGCAACATTAGTCACAAGCATTGCGCAGGCTCAAGCACAAGCACAATAGAGAGTGCAAGAGGCGGCTGCCTCTTCACACAACGAACCATGTCCCGACTCACCTCTAAGCGTCATGGACCATGGGGTGGTGCATGAGCTATTTTTATTTTAAATCATACATAATTATTCTTAAAAGCATGGTAAAATAATCAAAACGAGATAACTCAATTTTGGATATTTCTTATTAGGGCCATAGAGAAAACCAAAAATAGGGTCACCAAATGGTTTTCTAAACCATATTTGGCATGTGGATGTAAATTTTCTTTGTTATATTTACAAGTAGCATTGTATAGAACAGTATAAATATTAATTACTAAAAATTATGATGGTCCTAACTTTAGTAAAAAAATGATTTATATCTAATAATACCAATATGGAGTAATAATTTTTTTCTATATTTAAAGGAATATGTGGGATGGTCATGCATTAATTCACATATAGCAGCAGGCAAAGAAATAGCCATGTCGAACAATTATTCGACTTCTCGTGGCGTGTTCTAGGGATAAGCTAGGAAAGAAGAAAGCAAAATGTACAAAAGGCAAATAAAGCTGTGCATTGGGAATTTAGTGCATATAAGTTACCAAAGAATTGAAACTAGGCCCTCAAAAATCAAAATATACCTACAAGAATTATGTTTTGATTTTGTTTCTTGACAAAATAATGATTTGGATTGTTATGCTATATGGCCACCTCAAATCGATGCTCTGTATCACCAAACAAATTACTTTGATAGATCATCTACAAAAGACATTGAAATTTAGAACTCAAAAACTAATTAATCATCCTGGTTGGGTCATGTGAAGGCGGTTAGACCATATATACCTAAGATGTTATTCCATCGATCGAGAAATAGAGATGGTAGAGTAGAGATATCCTCAATTAACGGTGAGCTCATTTGAAAGTGGAGGTAAGGCACCACTGAAGAAGGAGAAGGACGAACAGCGATTGAGATGTAGCAATGAAAAAGGTGTGGGAAATGTCCCACACACCAGAAATGATTAATAGGGGGAATCAGCACCAGAGTTTTGGAATTGGGAGGACCAGGTTTACAATATGGTTGGAATACGACTTTTAAATCCAAGATCAATACGCAATATTTCGTGATAATATATACTCTCTCCATCATAGAAAAGATCAACTTCCGGAGATGAATCCAGTTGATTCTTTTTAGACTCTTTTTGGAATGGAGGGTATGCTGTAGGTACCTTCTCACTAAATTATTTCTCAAACATTAATTAATTGTGACATTCATTGAATGTTTTCACAACTAGTGCATCTCTCCATTTATTGTATAAATGTGTGTTATATCTCTCTTTCTCATTGGGACACCTATTAGTGGTGCCAATGCATTTAAAAACATATCTTTGACTCATTGGAGGGCAGGGGCATTTAAAATAGTTTTATAAGCATGCATGTCCATCATGGGGTATATTAACCTTTTTGAAAAATGCACAAAAGCTTTACAAACATCACCTCTCATAAGAAAAGAAAGTGTATAACACAATAGTAAGTATGCACCAAATCAAAGTGACCCGATTATATATATATGTATATACATTTTTACAGCATTTTTAGAGGTATTGTTTTTACTTCCTACATAGTAGCTAGAGACATTATTATAGCAGCATAAATTGTGCTACTACCACAAATCGTACTGAAAAATGTATGCCTTTGCTATAGTCAATCATTGAATTCTAGAGCAATCATGGAAGTTTAACTTATCTTAAATGTGCTAATAACCTCAACTTCGTTCCACTAATTATTTGTATAAATCTAACATTATTTGTACTAGTTGTTTAGCTACTTAAAAACAAATTAACCTCCCTCCTGCAGATGCTTCCAAATTGGTAAGACTATCCTAAGAAAAATACATATACACATTAAGGTCATCTTTAATGTATACCCTTAGGTCATAAGGTGGGCCTTACCATTAGATGATGTAGTTACCCCAATATATATAGCCTGAGTCCCACTGGTCCCACTCAATTAGTAGCTTTGCAAGTGAGGAGAGGGGAGAAGAGAGAGAAATTATTGTTATTTTTTCCTTAAAGCTAGTTCTTATATACTACTCCGTTCAAAAAAAAAACGAATTCCTGGACACATGTGTCTTGTTCGTAGGTAGGATTGGTCTTTTTTTTTTTGGAACGGAGGGGTACATAGGTAGCTCGTTATAAGGACTGACATATGAACCACTTTCACAGTGTTGAGGTAGACCGTATGCTCTGTTGATCACCTTTTTCATACATTGTGGATGCCTTAGGTGAATTAGAGTGCCCAAAAACCATCTAGATTTAGATTATTCTTCAAGCGTCTTTGTAGAGTGTAGACTATAAAGCTCCTAATGAAAATCACCTCTACAATGAACATGAGGTTTTTGTTGTAGTACCCCATCTTCGACAAGCTCATTTTCAAACGGCAGTAAGGCACCACTTGAGCATGAGAATTAGTTACGGATGAACAGCAATGTGAACCTAATTGAAGGGCGATGAAATGCCCCCAACAAAGAATTATATCACATATCAATCTCTTATATTTTGGGAGAACAGGTACTTCAAACTATTCTGCCACCATTTTTTTTTCATACATTGAATGGTTTGCTGACCGGTGCATCTCCCATTATTTGTGTAAATTAATGTGAAATTTGACAATTAATTAATCGTTTGCATTGACCATATATAAAGTATATATTTAAATTGTAAGTGGGTAAGTTTTACAGCATGTTTGCAATGATATATAACCTTTTTTCTAGAACTAGAAAGCAAAAAAAAAAATGTTTCATCTCATAGAAATAATAAAACACGACACATAGACGAGCACCAAAGCAAGGCTCCCTGCCAAAGTTCTAAAGAATAAATACATCACAAAAGAAAAATCGAACAAACAGGACGAACAGAAAAAAAAAACATCTTACTGTGTGCTGAGTTCATCTACCGCAATTTGATTTGCAGGCATTTTATCTATTTCTTTCCAGTAAGTATGAAAATAGTTGAAGTCTTCCTTTTGAAAGCATGATGATTTTGCTTTTGAACCCTAGCAATGAAAAAAGGCAATCGAACCTGAACATTGTTGGAACATAACATATCCATGCAAAACGTGGATCCACTAAAACCTGTCTGCCCATAAGTTCCTAGTACTGGGCAACAACTTGCCTTATCTGATGTTTCAGCTAAACTGAAACGATTTGGATGCCCTGGTGAGGATTTCTCCAAATTGTTTCACACATGAAAAGCATACATAAAATTAAGTAAATGGGCAAACGTCGTTATTACATCCGAAATGTCCAGATAATGCATTTGAGTATTTGACAGTCTGACATGCATACCATGTACTATCTCCGTTTCAGGTTATAAGACTTTCTAGTCTATATGAATATGAGCAATGCTAGAAAGTCTTATAACCTAAAACGATATAGTATTTAGTTATATGGGTCTGACAGAGTTGACATATATTAAGTGCAGAGCAATCTGCTTGTTATAGGTGAGCAGATGCAACCCTCCTGAGACCATTCAGTTAGCAATTTGGCCACCACATGGAGCAACTCTCAACTACTTCTAGATCTTATACTCTGTTCAGCTGAGAGGTTAAACTGAATTGACCAGGTAAAAGGTAAAAGTTTGGTAGTACAATCTTCAGGGTTGATGTTGGAGCCTTCCTAGATTCAGAACGATCAGAACATTAACTTGAAATGAAGGGTTAACATTCTTAACGATAAACGAAACCGACCAGAAACTGGTAGACACTGAATCACTGGCGTCTTTCAACACATACATCTGACCAAAGTTACCCAACTTTGCAACTAAGAGTTTAAAGGATGACTTGCTAATCTGCTATTACTGTCATCATTCACAATGGATAAATTATGAGAGTATATCCAAAACAAACAGCCATGGATATGGTAGGCCAACTACCCCTGTTACTGCTCCTTTGTATCATTTTCAGGTGGCAACTGGAAAATTTCTATTACAATGGGTCAATAGTCGACTTAATTAATTAATTCAAAACAGCAACCATAAAAATCAATGGACATGAACAAATTCTATGCACAGTTCACTGACAATACGTCGCAGTCATCGGGATCAACTCGCTCTTTGAACTCACATTTTTACAAGAAACGAATTTAAGACTTAAGAGTACACATGCAGAGTGACTTCCAGACTACCTATAAGGAGCCTCAGTAGGTAGGGTATTACAGTGTTTGTACAAATGGAATGAACAAAATTAATCATGACAATAAACCGGCCACAATAATATGAATATCAACTTAGAATACAAAGAGCGCACTAAATTTTGGAATACAGAATTACAATGTACAAAATGAATGACAAACTACACACCAAATTATTCTGTATAGCCTCAGCAGTTTGTCACCTGTGAACTTCCTTTACAATTGCATCTTCAGAAACAGAAGATTGTGAAAGCAGGTGCTTGTCTTCAAGATCTTCATCTTCAAAATGCTCATTGCTGGATGTGCGGGAATCATCTAAAGGAAAAAAATGCAACATTACCACAAACCACACACAAACATGAGATTGAAATAGCATGATCAGCTAACGTAGCAGCTAGTGAGCTTATGACAGGACAAACAACAGTATCTACCTGAGAAATGACAGTCCGCGAGGTGCTTTGTCCCAGTTGACTCCAACCGCATGCTTTCTGGCAGAAGGCAGTTGCAAAAGGCACCTGAAATAATTTGGATTATCATACATGCTAAAGAAAGGGTGACTATGAATTGTCATCTTTGCAACAGAACAATTCAGAACAGAATTGGGAGCAGGAAATGTACATATTTTGGCATTTTAGCAGCTTTGAATAATTGGATGTTGATATATGAGTTTCTTTCTGAGTAAATGGCTTGAAGTTGGGTCAAGAGTGGACAGCTCAAGGCAAACACAGTAACGTGCATCTTGGATCAATTTCTCTCTCAGGCTCACATGCAATACAGGGGCAAGAAACAGTTGGAACAAATTCTGCCCTGCCAACTTACCGGACTACTTAAAATTTATTGATTGATATATTTAAACTGAAACACCATATTACTCTCACATAATTCCAATATAGAAACATATGTCATGATGCTCCGATTGTTTGAGCTATGTCTAACAAGCCGTAGAAAAATGAACAAAACAACCGAAACTAATTTATGGGTAACACTTGTATATTTGAGTTGTTTGCGATTTAAAGGATAATACTGGAAAATAGACTACGATTAAAAAGCTACTAAATTTATGTTTCAAAATTTCAAACTTTGGCTGTGGCTGATAAGCTAACAAGCAGACAATGAGAAGCTAAACTGCAATCTAATCCTCCTCATCCAAACAGACTTTCCTATTTTTGAAAGACCTATGTTGTTTGTTGGAACCTGACCTGCTGATACAGAGCTTATTGCCAGCAGAAGCTAAGCTATTTTCTCCATCTGGTGGAGAACGGTAGATGGCATTTTCTAATTCTATGACGGATTTCAAAATGATGGGCCCAATATATTAAACAACTAACAGAGAAATAATTAACTTTATTAAACTTCCATGTACTCATGTATATCAAGTTTGATATAAAATTATTAATATTAAATTATGTCATTAACATTTTAGTTGACACCTATGAGGAGATCCAACATACTCCTAATTTGGATCATTCAGTAATCCTCATTTATATTGCCACATATTACTATCTCTATGATTTTATCATCTATGATCTCATCATCATTTCTGTGAATACTCAATACTCTGTAGTCTGTTCAGACATTTCCCTTCTTGTTCATGTCAGCAGATGATACTCCCTGGACATAAATCAACATCTCATTCTCAATTGATATTGTTTTCGCCCATGTCTGAACAAAGGTGTGTGGGAGAGGGGATTGCTTTATAACTTTTCGGGACATATTTAATTAAAAAAATCCTAAGGATTTGGATCCAGATTTCTGAATTGTGTAAAACAATACTGCATAATCCACCACTCTATGACCTTTCCCCCAAGCCTTAATGTTCGCTACCTTTTATTATAACTTGTCCAGAATCCTGACTAGTCAGGAAAATAGGCTGGAAGTTCAAAACTCCAGATACTACAAGTCGAATATTTGTTTCATCTTGCTTTGAAAAACTGTCCCACATAATGGACATAGTTTGTTGCAATCTTATCTTTTTTGACAAGGTAATATGCCAAAGTGCCAGTGTGATGTACTGCTTAGTAATAAAGTATTAGAAAAATCAAAATATAATGATGTAAAAGGAGCACAAGTTTTATTACCTAGCTTCGCAGGTCGGTTAACCCAGCCAGGAATCGGTTTTCCTGTCAATCTGGTACTGAGATCATCCGTAAAGTGGTTACAGTTTTTGGAAATGAGGTGATAAGTATCTCCATGGTATTCTGAAGCCATTCTCTGAATGAAATCTCGAAATTCTAAGGGATTCAAACTCGTACGGCCTATGAAAATTGAACATCTGTACATGAACCCTGGGCAGCACTTTGGTTCCACCTCAAAAACCCCACTCGTTGGGTGATCATGAGCTCCAAAACTGTACTCCGATCCATGGACTGTTCAACATAGAATTAGTCAAGGAGATAAATCATTAAAAAATGCAGGACATGGAAAACCATCATTCACATAGAGAATTAAATTGTTTTTAAGTCCACACAATACATTAAAACACTAAGAGAAGTTTACATCATCATCATAGAAGCATGAAAACAATTAGCTAAAGTGTACAGAACATACATTGGGGTGGAAAGTTGATCACACATCACAGTAATAATACTACTAAATCTACACTTCTAGTTTTGAACACGATGAATAAGGAAGAGAAGCCAAGTCACAGACACATAGTACTCATTTTGTGTAAAAGCTTCCTACAGAAAGAAAATTGACAGGAAGTTGAACATCTAACCTTGCTAAAACAGCATGTATATCCTATAGAGCCTTCTAATACTTGCAACCAAAACATAAACACGAATACACTATGAGACGAATATGAGAACATCTAACCTTGCTAAAACAACATGTATATCCTATAGAGCCTTCTAATACTTGAACCAACCAAAACATAAACACTAATACACTATGAGACGAATATGAGATATACATCACAGGACAGGATTCTAGTGCAACGGCTTCACAATGGCAAAGGTAATGTGTGCGGCTGTACCAACAATAAATACATACACACCCAATGTGATACTTTTCTTCTACTAGTTCTTTAGTGTCCCATAGTTGCGAGAGAAATTCAATAGCACGAAACAATCCAAAAACTAAATTGCTAAAGCTCTTTCTGGGAGAACCTTACATTTAGAATCAGAACGCACATGTCATTGTATCAAGAGAAGGTAATACTGTAACATTGTTTATCAAGTATATCAATGTGCAACACATCCAACTCAATTTCATTTCTCTAAAAGTACTCATTTCGATTTGATTTATCATAATAATTCACAAATTACAAACCTATGTTTTGAAAACTCAGTAGAGCCCGTTAAAACAAAAGTTTAAGCAAATGTTTTGTTCCACTATACAACCCCCACAGATACTTTTCAAATGTGTCATATAACCGTATAATTTGATCAGTACCAGAAACAAAACCAGTTCTAAAGGAAAGTGAAAACGCACTGATAAGGAATCTAATCTTTCCCAAATGAATTAAGAAAAGCCTCGTCAGAAAGAAAACCGGAAAGATATTTGATGCCATCTTCACAAGCAACCATAGCAATGCTTGGTCCCAATGTTAAACCAATGGCTTTACTTTGCAGCTGGGCTCACATAACTGGTACACAAATCAGAAATGATGAACAAAATTACCGGTATGCGTTCCGCAATTCAAACTGTTTGTTGCCTTTCACCCCCAAACATTTTTTTATGAATCCCGTTCCACCATGTTTCCAGCACGGCATCTAACCTACTAGCGCGATAAATCTGTCAGCTCGGCCAAATCATCCCGCCACTATCAGATTCGCGTAGCAAACTGCCTAGAAAACAAACCAAGATCTAGTAGTAGATACCCTTAACGCTAAAAGGAACTCACCTTTACATCATAAACTAAAGCTGGAATCCCATCAGAAATCATGCGAAATGGTAAAATAATAAAAATAAACTGGGGGGAGATTTACGGTTGGAGCTTGGTCTGGGTCAGGATCAGGCAGAGGCTCACCCTCGACGGCGGAGTGGAAGATCCCGAGGCCGCACCAGTGGAGGTAGTTGTTGAGCGGCGTGAGGTCGTACACATTCAGCACCACCGTGTACGCCCCTTCCCCCTCCGCCCCCGCCCCCGCCCCCGCCGCCCCCGCGCCGCCGCCGGAGACCGCCCCGCCCATCTCCCCTATCCTATACCCTCCCCTCCCTCCCGCCAAGCGCAGCCCCACCCGGCTGCTGCTGCGGCGGCGGCGATCCGAGATGGGATCGAGGGGGGAGGCGATGCGGACTTGCGGAGCAGCGAGGAGGAGGAGGACGACGAGGAGGAGGCAGCGTGCGAGCGAGGCGGGTGCGGGTTCGGGTTCGGGAAGAAATGGGTTTTTTTTTTTTTTGGGTCGCGGGCATGAGGTAGGAAGGTTACTGAGCGGTGGGGTCCAGGGCCGTGCGGGACCAGGTTGCAGTGTGGAGCGGCATACTGTAGTGTGTACGCGCGTGGTCGGTGATAGGGGCGGACACGTCGGATCGGTGGTAGTGCTCTTGTCGGCCGAAAGGCCCTGGGCCCTGGGCCTGACCTTTGGGCCGTATCTGTGCCTCTGTCTCGGCACGATGGGCCGGCTGGGTCAGGGAAGTAAAATATAGGAAAAAGTACACCGAAGGTCCCTCAACTTGTCATGGAGTTACAAAATCATCCTTAAACCGTAAAACCAGATACGACGTATCCCTCAATTTACAAAACCATGTAAATTAGGTCCCTCGGCGGTTTTGACTCTGGTTTTATCCTATGTGGCAGCTGACTCAGCGTGGAACCCACGTGGGCCCCACGCGTCAGCCTCTTCTTTCTCTCCCCTCTCCACCTCTCTTCCTCTCTCCTCTCTTCTCCAATCTCCACGGGCGGCAGTGGGGAGCAACTGCACGGGCTGCCGCCGGCGGGCGCGGGAGGCGTGGGGAGGAGCCGGGCGCAGGCGGCGGGGGGAGGAGCTGCACGGGCGCAAGACGGCGGCCATGGTGCGCATCGACACGCCCACCGCCTGCTCCTCGTACGCCACGAAGGCGTGGGAGATGTGCTTGAACTGCATCTTCATGTGGCTGAGCCCGTGGACGGAGGCGTCGTAGGTCATAGGAGGACGACGACGACACGGATGCGTTGATGAGGAGGAGCGGCCGACGAACTCGATGAGGTGGAGGGCGTGGACGCCGACGGGTGACCGGCTGGACGGCGTCACCACGTCGAGGAGCGTCAGTAGCGCGGGCACATCACGTGGCACGTGGACGCATGCCAGGATGCGGAGCTCCGATTCTGGTTCCGGGTGAGCCCACGCCACCGTGCGCCGCTTGTAGAACACGAGGCGCCGCGGCGGCTTCACCACCATGGCGAGGAAAGGGCTCACCATCGCCGTGATCAGCGATTCAGAGCCGGCACGAACACCAGCACCGAGCACCGTGAACGACTGGTCACTCATGATCTACACAACACAAGCAGCTACCTAGCCTTAATTAATCACGACATGCATCGCATGGCGATCGATTAAGTAATTAACTAATGGATTACCCCTTTGTTCCTTGCAATGTTGAGGATGACGAGCTCGATGATACACTTGGTGTTGAGCAGCAGCCCGATGGACACCGACAACAGCGGCGACCTTCAAGACCGCAAAGGCCATGGCGACTGTTATGAAAATAGATGCACAACGGAGACACAAATTTTTACGTGAAAAACCCTTGCGGGAAAAAACCACGAGCGCCGACCGGCAATGATCACTATAGAGGAGATGATTACAAACGTAGGGGAATCACAATGGGAACGTCACCTCTTCCCGTACGGCTTACAAGAGTATATATAGGGGATAAAAGAAAGACACCTAATAGGATTCCTACTAGGAAACTAATCCGAATATATTGTGGGCCCAAAATTCGGATCACATATTTAACAATCTCTACCTTGAGACGAATTTCCTTTTGTAGCATAAAAACATCAATCACCAAAAAATACCTCATGTAGGTAAAATCACCGCGCGCCAAATAGTCTCTAGGACTATACTGTAACACCAACCAAGCTTGAGCAAAGCTCAAACTTAGTAGCGGGAACTGGCTTTGTCATCATATCAGCTGGGTTATCATGAGTACTTATCTTGCATACCTTGACATCACCTTCAGCAATCACACCTCGAATAAAGTGATATCTCACATCAATGTGCTTTGTTCTCTCATGGAACATCTGATCCTTTGTAAGGCATATTGCACTTTGACTATCACAAAATATATTAATGCAAGACGTAACTCCACAAAGCTCAGTGTACAAACCTCTAAGCAAAATAGCTTCTTTACAAGCTTCAAAAATAGCCATATACTCTGCTTCAGTAGTAGATAAGGCAACAGTTGCTTGCAAACTTGCCTTCCAACTAACAGCACATCCTCTAATAGTGAAAACATAACCTGTAAGCGATCTTCTCCTATCCAAATCTCCAGCAAAATCTGAATCCACATAACCAACAAGTCCATCTCTAGATCTCCCAAACTGCAAACAAGCACTAGATGTACCACGTAGGTATCTGAAAATCCATTGAACAGCTTTCCAATGCTCTTTGCCAGGATTAGCCATGTATCTACTGACAACACTCAATGCATGTGATAAGTCAGGACGGGAACATACCATGGCATACATAAGTGAACCAACTGCACTTGAATAAGGAACTCTAGACATGTACTCAATATCATAATCTGACTAAGGACATAAATCTGAAGATAATCTGAAATGTGCAGTTAAAGGAGTACTCACTGGTTTTGCATCATACATATTGAAACGATGAAGAATTTTTTCAATATAACCTTTCTGACTAAGATATAACTAGCCAGAATGTCTTTCTCTAGTAATTTCCATACCGAGAATTTTCTTCGCTGCACCCAAATCCTTCATCTCAAATTCACTACTCAATTGTGCCTTCAACTTTGCTATTTCTGATTTGTCTTTTGCAGCAATCAACATATCATCGACATAAAGAAGCAAATATATAGCTGAACCATCAACAACTTTGAGATAAACACAGCTATCATAATTGGATCTTCTAAACTTCTGAGAAAGCATGAAAGAGTCAAATCTCTTATACCACTGTCTAGGTGACTGCTTCAACCCATAAAGAAATTTCTTCAACCTACAGACTAGGTTCTCTTTTCCAGGAACAACAAAACCTTCAGGTTGCTCCATATAAATGTCCTCTTCTAACTCCCCATGTAAAAATGCAGTCTTAACATCCATTTGCTCTAGTTCATAATCATGCATTGCAACAATACTGAGTAAAGTGCGAATTGAACTATGCTTCACAACAGGGGAAAAGACATCATTGAAATCAATACCTGGAATCTGGCTATAACCTTTAGCAACTAACCTTGTTTTGTACCTTGCCTCATCACTTGGAGACATACCTTCCTTTCTTTTGAAGATCCACTTGCAACGGATAGGTTTCTTCTCCTTTGGCAACTTCACCAATTCCCAAGTATGATTCTTTTCAAGTGACTCCATCTCATCATGCATAGCAGTTATCCATCTATTGCAATCATCAGAAACAATAGCCTCAGAATATGTAGAAGGTTCGGCATTACCTTCAATTTCTTCTGCCACACTCAAAGCATAAGCAACTATGTTCGCTTCTTCAATATATCTTCAAGGAGGTTTAATATTTCTTTTGGGCTTATCTTTTGTAATAGAACGTTTTGTAGACTGCTGAACAGTAGAAGAATCTGAATCTTCAATAACAGGTGCATCTTGGTTAATAGCAACATCTTCTTTTTCTGGTGCATGCCCTGAACTGATCAAGTGCTCCACCTGCACACTTGCTTTCTCCTGACTCTTAACAGGAACATTAGTAGAAGGTTTGTCATGTAACATAACTGATTCATGGAAGACAACATTTCTACTAATCACAACCTTTTTGGTTTCAGGACAGCATAACTTATAGCCTTTCACACCAGACGAATAACCAAGAAAAATGCACTTAATAGCTCTAGGCTCCAATTTACCATTATCAACATGAGCATAAGCAGTACAACCAAATACTCTTAAGTCTGAATAATTTGCTGGGGAACCAGACCATACCTCAATTGGAGTCTTCTTATCAATGGCATAACTAGGTGATCGATTGATAAGATAACAAGCAGTGGAAACGGCTTCCGCCCAAAACTGTTTAGGCAAATCTACATTAGACAACATACAACGGGCTTTTGATATAATTGTCCTATTCATACGCTCTGCTACGCCATTTTGTTGAGGTGTGTGAGGAACGGTGTAGTGACGCACAATGCCTTCAGACTTGCAATATGATTTAAATATCTTAGAACAGAACTCCATCCCATTGTCAGTACGAAGGATTTTCACCTTCCTTTCAGTTTGTCTTTCAACCATAGTTTTCCACTCTTTAAACACATCAAAAACTTGATATTTGTGCTTCAAGAAATAAGGCCAAACTTTTCACGAATAATCATCAATGATAGTCATCATGTAACGAGCACCTCCAAAAGATGTCTTACGAGCAGGCCCCCATAAATCAGGATGCACATAATCAAGAATACCTTCAGTAGTATGTGTAGATGTGTTGAACTTCACCCTCTTATGCTTGCCAAAGATGCAATGCTCACAAAATTTGAGCTTCCCGATGCTTTGTCCATCTAGCAATCCTCGTTTGCTCAATTCTGCCAAATCAATTTCACTCAAATGCCCAAGACGCATATGCCAAAGATTAGTAGCATCGGAATTAGATAATGAATCAGAAACTGCTGCAACATTACCTAATATAGTTGTACCTCGCAGATGGTATAGGTTGGCAGATTTAATATCAGCTTTCATCACAACAAGAGAGCCTTTAGTTACCTTCAAAATTCCGTCTCCACCGGAATATTTGTACCCTTTGCGATCAAGAGTACATAAAGAGATGAGACTTCTCTTCAAATTTGGAATATGCCGCACATCTGACAATGTTCTATACAGCCATCAAACATCTTGATCTAAACTGTTCCAATACCTGCAACCTCGTATGGTGTATCATCACCCATCAAAACAATACCACCTTGCACAGCTTCATAGGTGGCAAACCAATCCCTATTCGGGCACATGTGAATCCCTATTCGGGCACATGTGATAGGTGCATGCAGTATCAAGAATCCACTGGTCACTAGTTTGTGCATAACCAACATAAGCAGCAAGCAATTCTGCATCAGACTTCTCATCAGTAACAACTGCAGCTTTACCTTCCTCTTCTTTCTTACCTTTTGTTACATATTTTTTGGTTCTCTTGTCTTTATCCTGTAGCTTCCAACACTCAGAGATATCATGTCCATTTTTCTTGCAGTGTTTGCATGACTTATATCTGCCTCTGGACTT